TTTGAACATAGTGATTAATTGTTCAGATCCAGGTTACTTACCCACTAACGCGAAATTGTCTTTGGAAACTCGACATCCTTCATTCATCAATTAGATTCACAAGTCGTTTTTGGACGATTCGGCAGCAACAGTGTTTGAAAGGTTTGCGCCAACATCACAAAGCAAGAACTTCACAAGGTTGTGCTTGCTCTTCAGGTCCGGAAAGGTGCGTTAGTCCTCATCACTGATCCCACTTTACCACCAAACGAGTGGAAAACGGTATGTGTAATCAGCTTTAAGCCATCATTAGACGGGGCAATTAGGGAAGTAGAATTGACGACCCCAAATAGTAGAATAAAAATTAGAAAACACCGCAATCTCATTATACCAATGGAGATCAATTGCGACAAACGAATCCCTGATATGAACAGCAAAGTTGACAAAACTTCGGAACAACTTACGACCCCGAAGAAAGGTCTGTTGTAATGGGAACACGATAACGGCATCGTCGAATTTTCGTTTACTAACGGGGACGGCTACTTCGCACGCTACTCTGGCATTGTTATCACTTTTCAGCCTAACTCCTTGTCAAAACATTCACATGGAGAGCGATAAAAAAGGAATTATTGAGAGGAATGAGGACAAGATGGCTCCGAGATGTGCATTGAAAACAAGTGCATGGCATATACTAGACCGTCGGCTTACGAATTGGTGAGATTTGAGCCGCAGCTCATGCTCCATAAGCACAACGTCTTTCCCAAATGGGAGATAAACCAAAGATTATCTTCGATGGAAATGACCTGCCCGGGATCAGGATTTTGCGAGAATCTGCAATGCTCCTTTTGTTTAGCGACACTGCTTAATCCAGAGTGCTGGCCTTTAGAGTCTTTACTTATCATCGCAGTCATAATCTATCTTGCACTAGCCCTAGTGTACGCACTTCTTTATGTGCCAGTCACCGTAGGAAAACCAATTAGTGTGATAGGAATTTCGTTTTTCTACTAAATCGTGTAACTTTAACAATACACAAAAAATCCACATCCACAATCCACAAACTACGTAGAATTCTGCGAGTTCCAGTAAGGTCAACTGAAATTATACGATTACGAAAGCTCGCGGAAGCACTTGCAATAGTTGCGATATGTCATCAGGTAGTGTATTTTGCGAATACTTGCCAAGATGTGCACACCTTTTTCGCGAGTTCAAAAGTATGCACCACGTCTGAAGAGTGCAGAATTACAGTATTAGAAGTTCTAAAAATTAACATATTTAAGCAAGAGGTATGTCTGCGAGTCTACCTGAACGGTACACTCATTTAGCGTCTAAATTACGCTGGAAAGGGTTGTACTTACTGCGGTCACGAAGCGATCTCATTTACGCGGGATGTCCACTTACAGGCAGGGATAGCCGAGTGGTTAAGAGGTTAGACTCATGTCTGCACCTCTGAAAAACCGCGAGTTCGATCCCTGCCGAGGCTCTAAACCATGCCTTGCAAAAATTGCAAAAATGGTTCTAGTACCAGCGTCAGGCCCAGGTTGACAGGCCGGCTGATGAAGACCCCCGTCACAACAAATATGTCTAAAGTCGAAAAAGGAATCAGTGATAAAGCTAGGACGTCACCCGGAAGTGGCGCGCAGAACCCCGCCCGAGTTCTGTGGTCAGTATGCGAGGGCTACCGAGGAGTGAACGGCCTCGGCCAAAGAAGCTAGTTCGAATTGGGACTCTGAACGTAGGATCGCTAACTGGGAAGTCCCGAGAGGTTGCTGATCTGATGACGCGCAGGAATATCCAAGTCCTGTGCCTTCAGGAGACGCGATGGAAAGGCGCTAAGGCCAGAGAAATCGGGGAAGGTGTCAAGCTCTACTACAATGGAGAAGACACCAAGCGGAACGGCGTGGCCATAGCGGTAGCGGAGTCGCTCAAGGACTATGTCTCCGCTGTGAACAGGATCAGCGATCGGATCATGGCTGTGAGGATAGACACGAAGGAGGGGTACTGGACCATACTCTCCGTGTACGCACCGCAAGCCGGGTGCCCCGAAAGTGATAAGGACGATTTCTATCTGAGCCTGGACGAAGCCATAAGATCGGTTCCGGAAGATGATTACCTGACCATGGCAGGTGACCTGAATGGTCACATCGGTAGTGACAGAAGAGGCTTAGAAAGAGTGCACGGAGGTAGAGGGATAGGAACGAGGAACGCTGAGGGAGAGAGGGTTCTGGACCTGGCTACAGCCCACGACCTGGCAATCTGCAGCACGTTCTTCGCGAAAAGGAAGACTCAGAAGGTAACCTACAGCAGCGGAGGGAGACAGACGGAAATCGACCATGTGCTGGTAAGAAGATCAACCCTCAAAACTGTGAAGGATATCAAAGTTCTACCCGGCGAAGATCTGGCTCCCCAGCACAGGCCCCTCCTGGCAGACATTGCGATAGACCTCCCCAAGAAGACAAGGGTAAGAACCGAGAGGAGAATCCGGTGGTGGAAGCTGCACCAAGCGGAGAAGGGATGACCTCAGGCGAAAGATAATGGAAGTCGGTCTCCCAGATCCTAACGGGCCAATACAGCGGACTTGGGGCACGCGGCTGAGACCATCCTGCGATGTGCCAAGGAGGTACTGGGCGAGACGCGAGGTGGATTCAGAGGAGACAAGGCAGCGTGGTTCTGGAACGAGGAGGTCCAGCGAGTCGTGAAGCAGAAGAAGGAAGCATACAAGCGCTGGCAGAAGACCCGGAGCCCGAAGACCTCGCTACCTACAGGAGTTGCAAGAGGCTCGCTAAGGCTGCTGTCGCCAAGGCGAAGAACACGGAAATGGACGCCTTGTACGAGAAGTTGGAAAGCAGAAACGCAGAGAAGTTCGTCTTCAGGCTGGCTAAGGCCCGGCATCGTGCTACTCAAGACATCAGGGTGGTGA